AGGGGCAAATTAAGTCCCGGAGCGCGTAGAGTCGAGGGATCCATCCGATGTCTAACGAAGGGATCCTTACATCTGCGGATCTCGATATGGACCCGCTAGTCGAGAATTGGAGGAGGTTTGGAGGTTATGTCAGCCGGCGCCTTCCCTCAAGCATCGGCAATTAGGTTCGAGCTCGAGCCCGTTGCGGCGGCCGCGTCCAGGAAATTCCGCAGGGCGGAATTTCGTCTTGCTCTTCGCGTTTCCCCCCGGTTCTCCGCAATCGAGTTTTCGATTCCATTAACCGATAAAAGTGGGCGGGATGCGCGCAAAGGGCGCAAAATTGACGGGCACGCGCAATCCCAGCGAATCTCGTCGCTCTTGTTTCACCGCTGTATATTTCATCCGGACCGCTGGATCGCGGTTTCCGCCCCGTTATTCCCCGGCACGCTGCACGCGTGTTTGCTTGGCCAAATCTCGTGTAATTGTAGATTTGGCCAATCGCCTTTGGCTAGTTTTGGAGCCCGACCGACTAACGTGCTTAATGCGGACGCAGGGATGGAAGTGATCATGGGGTTATAGGAATCCGCGATCGGATGTTCCGCTTATCAGACATTTCGCGTTACCCCTTTATACGCGTCCCCTATCTCTCTAGGAACGTAAAAAGGACACTTCGCGAGAGCATATTCTCGGAGCCGTGGACGAGGCGCGGTTATGGCGGAATTATGCATTTAGGTCCATTCCGGGGGAAGGAGCCCTATTTTCCTCGCGAGTCTTGAGAAGTCGAGAAAATGCCGGAGACTGAAAGAGATCGCGCTTCAATTCCGGGACGAGCTTCTGCCGAGGAAGAAGCGCCGCTCGGTTTGGCTCGTCATTCGACTTAATATCCCCGGGACGTCGCGACGCGGATCGTCGGCCCTGGCCCCGCGACCCGCGAGGTCCACCCTCTCGATGCTTCACATTTTCGTATTTTCACATTTTCGCATTTTCGCATTTTTACATCTTCACAATTTTACATTTTCCTCTCGCATTTACGCGTGCAGTACGCGCTCGTTTAAACCGCGCCCACGAGTGGCTGCGGAACTCGTCGGCGGCGTTTTACGCTGTTATCATTTTCCCAAGCTCGTGGGGTCGTTTCATGCACCGAGTCGCGTCCTTCCCCCGAATCCGATTATCGTTTACAGGGTGAACGTCTCCGCGGAGGATTTATTTTACCGTCGTATTTATTGTTATTTAAATCGCCCCTGTCCCCAAGGGGCTCGGAAATAAACGTTGCGCCCCTTATCATTTCCGCAAATGGTTCCGTCTACCGAAGGAGACCACGAGTCCGATTACCGTTCGCGAACCTCCACCCCACATCGTCGACATAGTTTCCACCGCGACGGAATTCGCTTTATCGGGATGTTTATCGCGATTCGAGGAGATGCAAACCCATCTCCCATGGGAGTTGCGATGCGCTCCACCCCTTCCAGTCCCGTAAAAAATGGCGTCTGGAAGAAGAAGAGCCATCGCCATCCGGTGGCGCAAACGCGATCAGCGATCTCGTTAGCCGAAGAGGTAATTAAGGCTCTACCAATTTGGCCCATTTAGAGGCAGGGGGTGCTTTTTACCCCGGCCTCCTCCTCTTTGCACCTCGCAGTCTTCCTTGAGGTGGCGGTCGCCAAGAGCGACGGGCATTCAGGCAAGTTTTCAAAGAAGCTGCGCGTAATTGGCCCATTGAGAGGAGTTACTTGAACGCGCGACTCGGCCGGGCGAGGTCGAGGCGTCCGCTGCGGTTTCCACGAGATCGACGTCGCCCTTCTGGAACTCGCGGCCGATACGCCAAGGTAAGCGTCGAGGAGGGTCGGAAAGGGAATCCACCCCCGGGGGACGACGCGCGGCTTCTGACGTTACAGCGCGCGAAAGCTCCGAGCTTCGACCTCGGACCGTCTCGACGCAACCCCAAGACGAAAGATCGACGTCTCGCCGTTAACCCTCGACTTAAGGGCGCGGTTTACCGGGATCGAGAAATCCCCGAATGAAAGCCTCGCCGTTCTCCCGGGACCTCGAGAACTTCTCTGGGAGAATTTCTCGAGTTCCCTGGAAATTCACCGGAGTCGCCTCGACCTTTGGAGAATTTCCTCGCCGGAGACCTCAGGGTGAGGTTCTCTTCTCTCGAGAAGAGGGCGACCCGGCATTGAGACGGAACGGCCGCAGGGCGCGCCGGTTCTTCGGAAAAAAGCTCGACGTGTACTCGCCGAGCAAAGCTGTCGAGATGCCGAGCGAGCGTATCTTCGAGCGTGTTTGGTGTACCTCGAAAATTCAGGAGCGATTCCGATTACCCCGTATCGTCGGGGTGAATTCGTCCGACGCCTCTCTTTCGCGGCCCGAGTACCGAAAGCAACGGTTGCCGTCCAATTATTCCCCGATTTGGCGCACTCTTTCAATTAGCGAGTCCCTCAATGAGTGCCAGAATGGGTGGCCTCGTGGCGAACTTGCCCGCTCGAACGAGACATCACTCGCGGAGGCTCTATCTCTCGAGCTTTTTGTTCCCGAAATGGACGCGACCTCGTCGAGGAGGTCGGCGTCGCGACGCCGTTAATCGCGGCCGTCGCCCCGCGCGGCGCGGCGGTCGCGGTCAGCAAGAACAAAGGAACCAGCGGAGCTTTCCGAGCTTGCACTCGGCGAACTCTCCGCGCGGCGCATCCCTCCTGGAGACCGGCGACTCGACCCACTTCCGACAAACGACGCCCAGCGCCGCCGACTGCACTTGACCCGCACGTTTTTAAGAAGATTACTCATTATGCACCACGAGCAATTAACGGAGAGAACGCCGAAGAAGAATTAATAACGGCGTCCGGGGAAAGTGAGCAAATTCGACACCACCGCGAGAGCGAAGTTTCACCGAGTCCGCGAGCTTTCTTGTCACCCGGTCACTGGGAAATAAGCTTTGCCGGAAAGCGTGCGCTTTGAAAATTTTCCACCAAGCCGTAACAAAGTCAGTAGGTGAGCGCCTCCACGGTAATTCCGGCCTTTGAGCGCCGTGGAACCCCTCGAGCTTTTTGTATCCGAAACGGGCGCCGCCCCTTTGGCCGGGCTCGGCAAGACGTCGCGACGCCGTTAGTCACGGATGTCGTCGCCACCCATGGGGTGATTTCGCGAGGACGCGAGTCTCATCCAGGGGGTAACGAAGTCCGGAAGTGGAAATCTCGGCCGACGTTTGCAGGATTTTAGGGAAATGGAGGCTCGAGAGGGGAGCGCTCTTCGTCGTTTCCGACAGCTGTCACGGTCAAGGCGATCGAGTGGAAGGCAACCCTTGGGACCTGGCGTCGCGACGCCGGGTCCCCGTCGCTCATCCTTAATTCATATCCCGGAGTATTCATAACATTTTCGCTACTTAATTTGTCCCGTATTCGCGAGGATGGGGGGAGAAAAAGTCGGAGCGGACTGCCTCGCGGTCCCGGGAGGTCGGGTTAACGAAACGCCTAAAGGGAACGGGGATAACGAGGAGGAAAGTGGGTGGCGAAAGTGGGTGACGAGGCTTTTGAAACGTCATCCCCAACCCCCGGTGCTTTCGAAACCCACCTCCGGTGGATGCGATCAAGGGATGGATAAATATATCCGCGGTTGGAGGTCTCATTGATTCCCGGAGGATCCGCGATATCACGCGAAGCGGGGAGTTTTCCCTCCGAGGACGAGGTCGAGGACGGGGCGGAAAAGCGGAAAACTCGGAGGCAGCTCGGGAGGAAATAATCCGACGGAGTCGTCGCGATAATTTCTTCCCAACGCGACCACGGGGAAAGCTCGCGGAGTCGGTCCGGGAAAGTCGGGAAACGAGCCCGAGACTCGCGCTGCCCCGAAACCCGGAAACGTATCGCGAAGTGCTTCGCGATAAATTCCTTTTTAATTTAACTTGTGCGATTTCTGCCCGGGCCCGGCACAAAGTGCAAATTGCAGGCCTTAACGCGCCGCCGGAAGTTAAATTAACGCCGCGCGGGCCGCAAGAGGGTGCGGGGCGCGTGCCAGGAAAAAATGAAATTTCTGCCGAGGGTGGAGACGCCTCCTTCACGCGAGGAGGGATCGCAACGAGCGCCGGAGCTTTCAGACCTCCCGTTTACGCGTTTCCCTCGGGACGTCGGTTTTGAAACTCCTAAATGCGGATATTTACATTTCCTCCCGAAATTTTGGTAGCCCCGTCCGGGTTGGAAATGTCGCTCGGAAAAGTCCTCCACGCCAAGCGTTTCGAGGATCCCAATTTGGACTAATTTTTTCCGGCTCGCCCGACCTCAGGGCGCTTTTTAAACAGCGGAAAGAAGGTTTCGCGAAGAGGGGAATCATTTTTGGGCCGGATGCAAGCCGGGAATAAAAGCGAGCTCGTCGATGTTTGCGAGATCCGTCGCGTCGCCGGTTTTTGAATTTAAATCCAAAACACGCCTGCACCCCCTCGTCGATACGACGTCCCGACCCCTTTCCCCTCATCCTTTCACGGACGCGATTCTCGACGCCGTTCTTGCAGAGGCCGTCGCGACGCCCTTGCCCGTGTCGAGGCCGCGCAGCCAGACACCGCGTCATGGAGCCGAGTTTTCAAAGACAACGCGCGGTCTGATATCTAACGAGTTCCTTCCACTCTGCTGCCATGGAGTAAAATACTGAAAAAGCGACCGAGGCCGGAGAAAGCCGTCATCGAGACTGCGGACGAATGGAGTGCCACCTCATCGAGCCGGGTGCCTCGAAGAGCAAGAACGACGACGAGCTCCTTTCTCCGCGTCTCATGAAATTTTCATTATTAATCGCTTTGAATTTTTAACGTCACATTTGACAGAGAGGATGCATGACACAGTGCATAATTGAGGGGGAAGGTAAAGAGCCCGAGCGTAAACCGGCGAGTCGGCAGCTCGACGCTGATGGCAAACGTTGTTCCAATTCAAAGAGCCGAGATACGGAAGAGAACCCGTATGCCAACAGAGGTGCGTAATTTTTAATACTTCCAGCAATTTAATTATGCGGCTACAACTAGGACACCGGACACAAGGGCATGCATTTACCTCGGTTTCCGGTGACTGAACGATCAGAGATGTCCTGGGTGGCTTCTCGGGTGGCACCTTCTTCAGGGTCCCGGTAAAAGTGGCGACCCCGGCCGACCCCAGGGTCGGGATCGTCGAGGAAACCGCGTTTTCCAACATGTCACCAGGGCACAATCGGAATTGCAGGGATCCCCTGCTCACATCCGCCCGGTCAAACTGGGTCAGATTTGGCAGAGGCATCTGAGACATGCTGGGAATCGACACGTGGACCGGCTCCGCAGCTTCGTATTGCAGCCTCGGAGAGAGCTTCTCGCAGGGAGGCTGAGTCTGCAGCTGTGCGGCCTGCTGCGAGTACGGGCACGAGGCAGGGTGCAAGGTGTTCTGAAAGTGCGTCTGAGGCAACTGGTGCTGGGGCTGAGAGGCTCCGGACTTGTCGCAGGTATGTTCCAGGTGATTGGACGAGAGGTGGGGGTGGTGAGCGTCCACCACTACCGTGGATGCGGTCTGCAAGATCTGAACGTCGACGGACTGTCGCTGGGGGTACTTCTCAGGGGCCTGCAGACCGAGCAACCTGTTCTCGTTCTGCTGGGTCTGCAGCTGCGCGACCTTGTCCAGGATCTGATTGTGATTCTGCAGACACTGAAGCCGAGCCTGCAGGTCGCTCTGCTGGCGCTCGAATTGGCTGAGTTTCTCGGAGATCATGTCCAGGCTCTGTTGGTTCTGCATCTGCTGTTGCAGCTGCAAGACGTCGCTCCTGGTGTCGGCCGATTCCGACTGAGATTGCAGGTTCTCCGCCTGAGACTTGCTGTGGGTGAGCAAGGAAGCGTTTTGGCTCTTTCGGTGGCTGTGGATTATGTGGTCCACCTGCTCCGTGGATTTTGCGGTCACGTCCCCGAAGTCGGTGACCACTGTCAGAGCGTTCTTCGTGTCCAGCTTCGCCTCGCTGAGAGCGGGATACTGGTGACAGAGATTGGGGCTGGTACGCTGGGAAGAAACCGCCGAAGTGGCGATGGCGGCTCCCAGGTTGGCCACGGATCCTGTCACGGGTTGGTCCTCGAAGTCCTTCCTGACCAGTTCCATGTGTTTCGTCAAATCCGCGCTGACATGGCGAAGATGGCGACGCTGCTCCATGATGGTGCTCTGGCTGATGTTGGGCATCGGCTGGAAGGCGGACTGGGACATTCTTTGGTCCTTGCGCTCCTCGGTGATCGGATGCACCCGAATATGGTCCCGACGCTCCTCGCTCTGATTCCTGGACCTTGGGCTGGTGGAGAAGATCGGAGCCTGCATCATTCCCCGCTCCATCTCCTGCTTCTGGCGGAGTTCCGCCCAGATTACCAGCTCCTGCCTGGTTTTTTCAAAGGCCGGGTTCACGAAGGAGGGGCTCTTCTGGGTGTTGCGATCAGCCGTCATGTCGCGAATCGGCACAAAAGGCATGGGCGATCTACGAACGTCTTCCATTCTCTTCCCATCTAGAGTGACCGGAGACCTTCTGTGATCCTCGAAGTAGTCGGATCGCCGATTTTCTTGCGAGATCGCCCGCTGGTTTGGACTAACGTTCCCTCGCTCTGGCTTCCGCTCCACGCTGACACTCTTTCTGTTCTCTTGCTGCCTGGCGTTCTCGTTGAAGCTCATCGGAGACGCCCTGATGTTCACATCCAGCCTTCTCTGCTGATCGGCAGGATACACCACCGATCCGTCCGGTCTTTTGGCCTCGACTCCTGCGACGATCTTTCTATCTGGTATCATCACCTCTTGATTCTCTCCAGGGAACGTGAAAGTGATCGTGTCGTTTCTTCTCTGGAAGCTAGAAGTCACGTCCACGGAGATGGACTTCCTGTGCTCCGCCCGCGAGACGTAGAGCCCACACTCGGGAACCACATTTTCGGAGACCTTCTCCCTCGACGTCTGGTCCATAGTAGAGTCGACGTAGAGCCCGTCTTGTCTGGTTCTAGGATTCTGGTTGACCGGCGCCAAGTACCTCCTCTCTTGGCCCTCGACGACCACCGGGTTGACCACGACGGGTGCACCATCGGCTCTGATTAGTTCCTGGGGATTTACGGATGGAGGCTCGTACTTCTGCAATGTCGGCTGCTTTTGCATGGGCACGTCCATACTGGCGGTCTTCCTGTGGCCTTGATCGTGGGTGATCTTGGAGCTGACTCTAGGAGGTACCATCGGCTTGGGACCTCGATTGGGCCTCTCGGTGTTGGGCACCGTGAGACTCTGGTGAGCAACGTTCTGAGCGATAGGCTGGATGATTGGCTGAGCTTGGTACTGTGCCAGATCCTGAGAGAACCGTTGTGGATTCGGTGACTGTTGCTGAGCGAATTGCTGAGGGTAGATCCCGGCTTGAGGATGATACGGCACCGGGTTCATGACCGTCTGGGGATACTGACTGTACGGGTACTGAGGCTGAGTGGGGTACTGAGCATACGCCTGCTGAGGGACCACCACCCCCGGGTAGAACGGCGGCTGGGGACTCGTGGACTGGGGAGGCTGGTGCTGGACCGAGACGTACTGTCCTTGACCAGAGAATACCGAAGAGTTTCCCCCTGCTGGGGGATACAGATTGGGGTCCCTGAATGTCACATCTCTGGTCACGTACCCGGCCCTTTCCCCGAACTGGCCCTGAGGATACATCTGCGATCTGACCTCGAACTGAGACCTGATCTGGGGATACTGAACCTGTTCCGGTGGACACTCTTGCGAGAACTGAGGCTGCGTCTGGACCGGCACGGTTTGGGTGCTGGTCTGTGAGACGTACTGCACTCGGTCCTTCTCCTGGGGATACTGCTGGCATGGGATTTGCCCAGGGTGTCTATCTTCGGGTTGTCCCGTGGAAAGTCGTCTTCCAGTGGGATTTGGTTGTCCCTCTGTGCCTCCGGTTCCTGGAATGTACTGGGAACCTTGAAATCCAGAGTGCACAGTCCTCTCCTGGGTCCTCTCCTGAGTGTACCGCTCGTACTCCATCGTGCGGTTCTCGAACCCATTGGACATGTCCTGGACCTCCTTTTTCCCCTTTTTGGACACGTCCCCCTTGATGTCCTGACCAGTCTGGCCAGCTGCTCGGCCGTTCTGACAAGCCGTCTGGGCCTGGTCCACCCCATCGGTCTGCTGCAAGCCTTGACTATTCTGCCCGTGCAATGTCAAGCTCCCAGAGCCCGACTGCGACATTGTGGCCCTCACCGACGGCTTACCGCCGATGTAGCCGAGGATTCGCCCCAGTCCGCACACCGTGGCAGCCTTGTCGGTCAATTTAGTGAAATTCTCAGACTCTCAGATGTCGCGAGCTACGGTCACGTCGCCGTAGTCGCGCGACGCCGTGTTCCTTGAAGGCATGTAAAGAACTCGACTATTGCGCTTTCCTCCCCTCTGACGTTCTTCCGAAGTACTCTCAAATCTGCATCGAGAGTTCTTGCTTGCGGAAGTGTCGTAGAAAGGCTCAGATCCTTGGTCCGAAGTGGGACAATTGGCCCTCCGGTAATCTCTTGGCCAAAGCTCAGACTTTCCCTCGGGTCGTCCTATCCAATTTGTTGAAATTTTTTATTTTCGAAACCCCTTCGTTCTGGGCTCATCCGAGCTCCCTCGAGACTTTAATCTGGAAGAAGACGAATACCGGGTATGGGTCGGGCTTTTCGATAGATTTCGCCTTTTACTCCTGCCCAAGATAGCCTGGCTTTGAAGGTATCGTTTGTGGGCCGAAACGGGATTACAAGGGTTTGCAAAATCCCTTCTCTTTTATTCCAGCACCTATTCCTCCGTTTTCTTCCTCGATGATGGCTATATCTCCTCCCTGTTCTCCTGTATCCCCCGAAACTTAAGACCTCGGGTCACAAACTTCCGCATTAAGCTCTCTCCCTCAAACTGGCAGCCTCCGAGATTTGTATCTCTACTTCCCTTGCTGGAATTCGACTATGAATGTGCTTCTCGATTAACAACTGGCAGTCGTCCAAGGAGCGGACGATGTATCGACCGTCGATTATTCTTAATGGATCCTAAGTACGTGCTACTTTCGCTAATTCTTTTTCTTAAGGTGCTAGGTCGTATATTCGTAAAATGTACTCCAAAAAACTTGTAGACTTTCTCGCGTCCCTCCCAGGATAAGAGAGCGCCGTGGCAGTCTTTTCTCTTGTTGGCGGTCTCTTCGACGATTTATCCTCCCTACTTTATCACTGGATAAACGTTTCCTTTGATTATCGGCGCTCGCTAGGTTAGGCGTTAAAACTGCGATTTTACAAAAGTCTTGCGACACCGTATTCGGAGTACCCTCCTCGGATCCCTTCGACCGAAGATCAGTCAAAGCTCGTAGGACTTCGGGTCGATGTTCGCCGTGTTTCCGAACTTACGATAATCTCATAAAATTCTGCCGGAGGAATTTATTGCCTGTTTGGACCGAGATCCAAATCCGAAGATCCAAATGGTCCACTAGACGTTCGTTGTCAGAGAACCCTGTTGGTGTTTCGTCAGTTCTCGAAGACGTCACTCGATGGTGGTCACTCGACAAGCGCGGTCTGGAGCAGTCCTCTTAAAACTTCACACCATCCAGTTTTTCTTCAGGGCATCGCTTTGGTCGACTAACTTAACAATTTACTTTCATTTTCGATCCCAGATCCGCAGTCACACCCGGCGTTCCTGGCGTTCCCGGCGATCCTGGCATTCCCTTGAGGTGCAGACGAAGACGCCTCGATTCCTCGGCAACGAGGTTCCTCTTCTCCAAAGGATCCGCCACTTAGTCGTTTCGGTGCTTTCAATTAACGGCGAGCCACGCCCCGGCTAGTTTATCTGTAAAACAAACGTTTGCTCTGCAGGCTGCCACCTTGGCACCTGCTCATTGGACCAGACTCAGACCGGAAAGCCTCGGGGACGCACTTTTGAACCTTCGACCTCCCGATCCTTCGATTTCACCGTCGAGTAACCAGCGCAAATCCAATTAATCGCACGGGCAATCCGCGCAAAACGCCCGGGTGCACGCATCGATGGCTCCTCGCAAATACCGCGCCAAACTGGCTGTATAAATCGGAATCGCTCGATATAAACGGTCGCGGAATGGCGGAAACCGCGGAATCGCGCTCTTCCTCCACCGAAGGAAGGACGTGACGGTAAAACAAAAAAAATGCAGCAGTGGGAGCTCCGCTCTTCCGAGGTTCGATTTAAGGATCTCGAATGGATCGCCTATTTGATATAAGGTAAAGCCGGGCCCTCCTGTTATCGATTGAAGGTGGAACCTAATTACAGCTCCCATTCTTTTGACGTAAAATTCGACGCTGGACAGACTTCTCCGGGCGTTTCTGCCAGGGAGAGCGGGTCGGATCTTCCCGGGAAAATTCGTGGAAAAATGGTGAAAAATTCGCGGAATACGAGGCTGCTGGTCTCAGGGCTCGGCGATCTCGCCAGAGGTGGAACGGGGCTCGTGCCAACCGCGGTTCAACTCCATTTCAAGAGTCTTTCAGAAGGGAAAACCTGGGCGGATGCAAGAGCGCGGCTCGGATTCCGACGATACGGATCTCTTCAATCTATTTCGCCAGTCACCGAGTCCTGAAATCGAGCCGGCAACTTCCAGCGGACGTGCACTGGCCGGACTAACGCGAATGACTCGGCCAGGCGACTTTCAATCAATTTCTTGGATATCGATGACAACTGCCGGAACCGCTTATCCCTGGTACCGGAGAGGAGGCGTCCTATTCATGTTTTTGGGCAGGTGCAATATTCCATCCGGACCACGGGGACACGTTCCCTTAGATATTCCCCGGACGTATAGAAATGGGAAAAATAACCCTGATGGAATAAGATGGATCTTGGAGCTTGGAAGTAAGCGAGAGATCCCCAGCGACCATTTTCTCCGATATATACCACTGGCAAGTGCGAACTTCCTTTTCATACCCTTGCTATGGATCGATGAGAATCTAACGAGGGTGGGGTTTCGCCAATTCCATTTGCTCCCGAATCTCGTTTCGCCATAGAGAGTCCAGTTTGGTGTTCGGCTCTGTGGGTGATCGAAAATGATTGGACCAGCGGTAGGCGATAGGAAGAAACGGATAGATGAGAGAGAAGAGGAGGAGGAACTACTTTTCTCTCGTGTGGGGCCCTCGACGGGTCTAGGCAGTTGGAAAATATTCGCTTTTCCAATTAAGTGCCGCCAGATGGAAATCGGGACGGCGGAAAGTGCAGGGGATCGGGTCGGGTTCCGAACGGTAATCCGGGGATCCGACTCCGGAGGAGTAATGGACCAAATCGAAATCCCAAGTTCGAGGTAGCGTTCCCGGCTCCGTAATAGGACTCTGGATGTAGATGCTCCCGCGAGATGTATAACTAGATGCTGATCATGCATCCGCGCCTCGCCGGATCCACCGAGGACCTGGCCTAACGAGGCGACTCGCGGTTACGATTTCCATTCCCGGAGTCGGGTTCACGAGATTCAAAGTTCGAGCCGGGTCAAGCCGTCCATTGGTTACGTTTCCGTAGGAACGAAATCTCTTCTCGCCCGGAACGTCTCATTGAATCTACAAATTAGAATAACTTCAGAGACGTTCCCCGAAGAAAGATGAATCTTAAGTAAGGGAAGACAAGGTAGAAGGGCGCGACTCCGAACTTGGTCTCTCGCTTTCGATATAGGTCTCTCGAACAAACTGGAACTCCGAATGCAAATTCCCGGTAAGATGTATAACCAGATGCTGATCACCCTCCGGAACCCCGAGGACGACTCGGATGAACCGTGTCCACGACGTTCCTTTCCGAGACCGGAAGTCCATGATGGATTAAACTCCCTGAGAGAGAGAGAGAGAGAGAGAGAGAGAGAGAGAGAGCGGAGCAAAGGTGGCTCCTCCACCCTTGGATGGCTACCCCAGAGCTACTCGAGAGAACCACCCGTGACGACGACTCGCTTTTGAGGCATCCATCATTCCGCTTTATCGGGTCCCTCCAAATTTCCACTAAGAAATCCGACCCGGGATCACCTCTAGAAATCCAAACCAGTTGATATAGCCACGCGCGTAAAAAAAAAGTTGGGAGCTTCATAAAATTTTGGAATTCGTCAAGTCAGGACGGGAACGCAGGGCCCTTCTCTTCGAGTATGCCGCTTCCACATGCATCGTTCCCCGTTACGCGGGGGATATTTGAATTTTCGTAAAATCTGAACACCTTCTTTCCGGGATATGACGCATATTTCAGAAAGACTCGAGGATCCACTTGGACTGGAACGGCGCGCCATTTCTCGAAGACCCGGGCATAAAATGAAGATTTCGAAGTCAGTGACCCAAGCGTGGTGGTGGGGCTATGCTGTCGGACTAAATAAATTCCTCGGAGACACCGGAACGAGGAGTGCCTTTGTCAACCTGGAGTGATCTCCAGAGTTCATTGAAATTGCGACCAGATGCGATAAGGGACCTGGACCCCTCCGTCTTTTTCGAGACGTTCAGACCGAAGAACGTTATCACCGGTGCGGTATCGACGGACGGATCCTTTTTCACGTGTATACCCTATCTAGGATCTGAGTTTGCAAACGCGTTAGGGGCGACCAAGGAGCAATCCCTTTCAGAGGAACCCCTTTTGTCGATCTCGAGATACGACATGATCGCCGTCCTCGGAGCCGGCGCTATTCGACAAGTTTCGGCTTCCAGAGCCATCCCTTTCGTTTTGGGAGTTGGGAAATCAAACAGTTATGCCTCCGTTGTTCTGTTGCCTAATTTGAGCGTGACCGCGAAACAAGCGAAGCAGTTTGACATGGTCCTGTTGCACGTCACAAGGAGGCCCGCGGCGCACCCGCGACGTCCGCGAGGATCAGGTCGTTAGTTGGAGTTTAGTCGGATTAAGGCGAGTTTAGGAACGGAACGAGCAGCAAGCAGAATGCAAATGACCTATTGCCTGGTGCCGCAGGTTCGTTATCGGCCCGGTGGAAACGCCCGCAAACCGGAAAATCGGTCCTTCGAGGCCGGTCGATGGACTCCCAGGGGACGGATCGACGAGGACGCCCCTCGGATTTTCTCGAAAAGGAACAAATCCGAGGCGATCGATCGACCGCTTTCAAGAGAAAAACCGCCGGGACTAACGACGCGAAAAGGCGGCTCCGGAAGAGACGCTAAAGGGGTCTCGAAAGAAAACGCTTCACTCGGGCCGAGCTTTTCCTTTATCGAGGCTTAGAATTTTAATCGACCTCGAGGAAATGGGTCGGTATAATTGGCCACCAACCGATCTCGATTCGCTAAAATGTCCCCTTGTTAAACAAATTACGTGGTCACCGATCGTCG